AGGGTGTCCATTATCTAAACTCCTGTTCAATACCGTACTAGAAATACTAGCCACAGCAATTAGACGAGAGAAATAAAAAGAGTAAGGATAGGAAAAGAAGTTAAATTATCACTTCCAGATGACATAATGCCCTATATAAAAGACCCCCAAAACTCCATTGAAAAACTTCTAGGTATAATAATTCAGTAATGTAGCTGGATACAAAGCCAACACCCAAAAATCAATAGCATGCCTATACACAAACAATAAACTCACTGAGAAATAAGAAAAGCCACACCCTTCACACTAGCATCCCAAAAAATGAAATACTAGGAATCAATATAACAAAAAGAAAAGATCTAGCTGGGCGTGATGGCTCACGCCTGTAATCCCAGCACTCAGGAGGCTGAGGTGGGAGGATTGTTGCAAGTTCGAGACCAGCCTGGGCTACAAAGTGAGCTCAAGGCCAGCTTGAACTGCATAGCGAGACCCTGTCTCAAAGAAGACCCCCCCCAAAAAAAATCTATTCAGTGAAAATTATAATATCCTGAAAAAAGAAATTGAGTAGGATCTCAGAAAATGGAAAGACATTTCTTGTTCACGGATAAGAAGAACAAACATTGTAAAAATGGCCATTCTCCCAAAACTGTTATATAGATTTAATGCAATTCCAATTAAAATACCTCACAGATCTAGGGAAATCATTCCTAAAATTCGTCTGGAACCAGAAGAAATTTAGAAATAGCAAAGGCAATTCTGGGCAACAAAGGCAAGGCAGGGGAATCACAATCCCTGACTTAAACTTATACTACTGTAATAAAATCAGCATGGTACTAGAGTAAAAAGAGACCTGGAGATCAGTGGAATAGACGAGAAGATACAACTACAGTACAAACACATTCAGCCACCTTATCTTTGACAAAGGGGTCAAACACATTCACTGGAAGAAAGGTAGCCTCTTTAGTAAGTGGTGCTGGAAAAACTGACTCTCTACATGCCAAAGATTAAAGCTGGACCTGTATCTTTCACCATAGACCAAGCTAAAATCAGAATGGATCAAAGATCTTAATATTAAAAAACTCAAGTCAACTGTCCCTCAAAGAACTTCTGTCTAGAACACACAAAGAATTTAAAAAAAAAAAAAATCAGACCCCAAAATTCAAAGACCCAATCCAAAAATGGGCATCTGAGATGAATATACACTTCTCATACAAATGGCTTATAAACACATGAAAAAATGTTTAACATCATTGGTCATTAGGGAAATGCAAATTAAAACCACACTGAGATTCCATCTCACTCCAGAAAGAATGGCCAGGATCAGGAATACTACTAACAACAAAACCTGGAGAGGTTGTGGGGGGAAAAGAAACTCTTCTGCATTGTTGGTGGGCATATAAACTGGTGCAACCACTATGGAAATCAGTCTGGAGGTTCCTCAAAAAGCTGGGATTAGAAGCTGGGATTATTTGATTCAGCTATTCCACTCTGGGGCATATTCCCAAAAGAATTAGAAACCTCCTTATCACAGTGATACATGTGCATCTATGTTTATAGCAGCACAGTCTATAATAGCCAAATCTTGAAAACAACCTAAATGCCCATCAACTGAAGAATGGATAAAAAAGTTGTGGCACTTTTATACGTGGAGTACTACTCAGCTATAAAGAATGACCACATTTTATAGGTAAACGGCTGCCAACTTGAGACCATATTCGTAAGTGAAATAAATCAAAATCTCATGTGTAAATGCTGTATTGTCTCCCTAGTGTAAGAAACGCTAAGAGTAAATAAGATACAAAATCCTCAATACTGTGAAATTAAGAATCTGCTCAAAAGGGGAAAAATAACTCAGGAAAAAGGAGGGGGAAAAAAAGGAAAAGAAAAATAAAAGTTTGTATATACACACTTAAGATAACTAAGATGACTATGCTACTAATACTATTAGTTCTTAGAACAAAAGTTAATATTCATAGAATTGGATCAATTTTGTATGTTTGTGTCTGGTAATCTGAGGAATTCTTGAAGATTACTATGTAAAATAGCAATTTGGGGGGCTGGAGATTTAGCTCAGCGGCATAAGTGCCTGCCTTGCAAGGAGGCAGTCATGAGTTCAATCCCCAGTACCAATAAAAAGGAAAAAGAAAAAAAAATAGTAAACCGTTCCTATTGCCTTGTTTTCAAAGCCTGTATTGTCACTGTTTTAGGGTCTTTGTTACCATTGTCTTTTTTCTTGTTTTTCTAGTAATTTGTTTGGTTTTGCCTTCTAGCACAGAAAGGACAGATGTACAAGTAGAGCATTAGACATGCCTAGACCTTCTCCTAAACAGTTTATGATGATGTATTACGTGTGGTATAAATAGCTACTTTGAAGAGAAATTAAGGTAGCCATTGCTGATTCCCTATTATCATGCTGTAAAGTCCAGTAATACTTTTATTCTTTTAGTGGTTTTAGTCTTATTTTGTATTATTTAATTTCAATATATATGAAGGTATGGACAGCTATTTGCATTATTTTCTTCTGACCTGCTTTGTTGTTTTGTTTTATCCTCTCTAAAAATTTTTTTAGAATAAATAAGCTAATCCTGGTCTCTTAGTGTAACCATTCTAGAGTGCTGAGGTTGGGTCAATATATCAAACAAATGCTTCTAAGAAATCATAAAAGTTATCAAAAAGGTAAATTTGGAAATGCTGTATCTTTTTGAAATGAAGTAGCTTTCATACACAGCAGACAAGTAGATGACTCAAAAAAGTCAAAAACTGAATATATTCTTTAAAGGTACTAAGAAACCCACTCACAATTATCAAGATACTAAAACTGTAACTAGCAAAACAAGTACTTTCTCTTTGTGACAAACGAAAAATATTACAGACCTTTGACATTCAAAAAAAGATTGCTTGAGCCCAGGAGTTCAAGGCCAGCTATGGCAACATAGCAACTGAAAACAGTAACGACAAAATATCCCTCAAAATGACACAAATTCACTGATTAAATGACAGTAACATTAAGAAACTCTCTAAGATTTTTTGTGTTGCTAAATTTCTAAGGTATTTATCTTAAGTACCCAATTCATTTGAGTCCTCTAACTGCTACACAAAGTAGGTGTAAATTTTTATCCTTATTTTCTAGACAGGACAAATGCGTTGTCCAATGTCACTATGCTAGCAACTCTATTAAAAGTGCCAACTCTAGTTACAAAGCTCATCTGCCTCTCCAAGAGTTTACTGAGTTAAGGAAGACCAAAATCAATCAAGAAAAATTTCTAAGCATAGGCCTGTTTTGGGCCTTTTCAATATGCAAAAATATGTTACACAACTTTGTAACTTAGAATATATCACAAAAAATGACAAAAGCACAAGTTTGTAAAAAGCCTACAGGCAAACATACTGGCTCATTATTTTTGAAAATATATAAATTAACCCCAAGATTAATAATGGTAATTGTTTTAAAAAACTGAATCTTATAGTTCGAAATTTTATGCAAGCAAAACAATCCTAATATTGCTTTTTCAAAAAAATAAGTATATGCTACAAAAAGCATCTATCTTAAAAGTATTTGTTTTTTGTTTTACTGAGACAGGGCCTCATTCTGTATTCAGGCTTTCAACTATGTATCACAGGTTGGCCTCAAACTTGCAGCAATCCTACTGCCTCAGGCTCCCAAGGATTACAGATGTAAACACCAAGCCCTGCTAAGTTTTTATACCACAACAAGTGCCATAAAGTATTTAATAGGAAGGATTTTTACTGGATCTTACTTGGTTTTATATACATATATATGTGTGTGTGTGTGTGTATGTAATTGTATTTACTTTGCTTACTGAAATTATTAATTTTTTTTTTCAGAGACACATTCTCACTTAGTGCAGGCTGATCTTGAATACATGGCAATCCTACCTGTTTCCCAAACTCTGGGATTACATGCATGGGCTACCATGCCTAGCTGAGATCCTTTTCAGAGAACACCACTTCTGTCAAATATATACTTTCAAATCTTTATATGCATAATTCCTAAACTCACGGATTATGAAAAGTAGTCCTGGCCAGACATTGTGATGCACGTCTGTAATTCCTGTACCTGGAAGGCAGAGGCAAGATTAAAATTTAAATCCAGCCTAGGCAATTTAGCAAAACTCTGCATCAGAGTTTTAAAAGGCCAGGCATAATGGTGGCACACCTGTAATGCCAGCACTCAGGAGGCTGAGGTTAAGAGTCACTGCAAGTTCGAGGCCAGCCTAGGCTAGAGTGCGTTCAAGGCCAGTCTGAACTGCATAGTGACACCCTGTCTCAAAGGCAAAAAACAAACAAAAAACAAAAACTGCAAATACACTAACATGTGTGATGAAAACCATCTAAGTACCTCTCAATAGATTAATTAATAAGACACATGCTGTATAGCCTGGACTAACAGTAGGGAGAAAGGGAACAAGGCAGGTCTATTTAAAGTAACCTAGAGTAGTCAAATTTATAGGTATGAAGTGGCTGGGCAAAAGGAGGCAATGGAAGTGTATCATGCAGAGCAGGTCTGGACAATGGAAGAAGTTCAGGAGACAGGTTATACAACAACATAAGTAAACTTAACACTACTCCCCTGTACACTTTAACACAGTAAACTTCATTCATATGCTGTATATTTCCCCACAATTTTTTAATAAAAGAAAAAAATCCATGCCATCCCTTAATTGCATGTTGAATGCATCCCACTACTTTAGGCCATTATGTAATTTAAGTGACCCAAAAAAGAAAAATATGTAAAATGAAGGCTTCTAATACTTAAGTGACTAACAGCCCTTCCCAGATTAGTACATATCAACTTACATGAACAGTATGTAAGAGTTCCCACTTCCAACAACCCCTTGCCATCACAAAGGATGTCATTTTTTTTTCTGAAATCATAGCTGATTTAAGCATAAAAAACAAAATCCTTTTTCATTTTTGCTTCTATTTCTATAAACTTATGAAAGAACTACCACATATAAGCAAAGATTCAACAGTAAAGTGATACGGGGTATTATTATTCATTTTCAAAAAAAGTACTGTAACATAAATGCCAAAAAGTTACTTAAAGCAATGTTTTCCAAGAGCAGGAAAGCTGAGCATGGTGGTACACGCCTACAATCACAGCACTCTGGAGGCTGAGACAGAACTGTTCCAAGTTCAAGATCAATCTAGGCTGCAAAGTGAGCTCAAGAGCCTCAACTGCATAGAGACCGTATCAGAACAAAACAAAAGATAAATGATCAATCTAGGCTACAAAGTGAGCTCAAGAGCCTCAACTGCATAGAGACCGTATCAGAACAAAACAAAAGATAAATGCCAACAACATGATCTGGTGAAAGGAGTATTATTTCTGCAAAGTCAAATATAACTTAGCTAGTGAGATTGATAACTTGGGTTGTGAGTACAACTCAGTGGTATAGCTCCTGCCTAACATGTGCAAGACCATGGGTTTAATTTCCAAGAGAGACAGAAACAGAGAAAGACATGTGTACTAAGATTATGCCTCCAAATTTTATCAAAGAGGTGATGAACTTGTAGCTAGTATTTGTTAGGTACTCTGAAGTATGATTAGCACACAACTTTACAATTTAAAAAAAAATTTCACTGCCACCACCTGCTACATAATTCAGGACTTTACTGCTCCACAGATTTTTCTAATTAAGTCCTATCTGAACTCCCTACTGCAAATCTCTCTCCAACTGATCCACTCAGCAACTACATTAGGTTTTCAAATACTACCAATGCTCCTATTGCTCTTTGAACTGTTTATAATCACCTGCTCATTGAAATTAAAGTATCCTAAAAAATGTGGCTCATTTGTTTTTTCACCTAATTTCTCTTGCCAAGCATGGTGACACATGCCTGTCCCAGCATTCTAGAAGCTGAGGTAGGAAGAGCACTGCAAATTAAAGGCCAGCCTTTACTTTCCAATTTCTTTACTTCCAACAACTCTCAGCTGCTGCAAAACAAACTGTAGCAGTTACCAGCTGTCAAGGGCTCCCATTGCATAATTTAACAATTACAGATTAAAATCCACTTTTACATTGTAGTATATGTAACATAAAGACACAAGCAAGGATTCAGATTTGTAGCTTTTATTGCTCCACTAGGTGGCACTGTTACTTCTTATGAATTCAATATATGGTGTAGTATATTGATGAGTACTTGTTTTGTACACAGTAAGTAATATACTATATAGTGTAACAGCATATTGTACACAATAGTTGTATACAGTAAAACTTATGAGTACTTATTAGAGAGTACCTGTCATTCACATATTCATATACTGTCAATACTGTCAATGTGTTACTCTTATGGGAGACAAAGTTGTAGTGATTTTACAATTTCAAAAAGCTATTTTCTTCTTTGTTCAAAATGCTCTGGTACTGCAATCTTCTTATTCATGGTTTCACTGTATTTCAGTTTAGTCACCATGGTTCAAAACCATTACTGTACTATAACAAGGATTATTTTGGAGAAAGGGAACCTACATTCACAATCACATTTATTAAACTGTAATGATTACTTTTATATTATTATACTTAATTTGAAAATTAAACTACCACAGGTAGTTAAATATATATGAAAAATAGTATTTATAAGGTTTGATACTACCTACAGTTTCAGGCATCCACTAGGTGGATAAGGGTGGACTACTGCACTGTACTATGCTATGATGACTTAAAGATCAGCTAACCAGAGTGGTGAGAGCCCTTGTCCAGTACGTGTTTGATTGCCCCCTCCACATTAGCCTATTACACTGAATGTAATTTTATTCAAAAACTTCAAATATGTTTCAATCACTTATTCATAAAGTAATGATTCTTTTTCAACTTAAAAATCTAATTTAAAATATAAAAATGCCTCTTACAGATTACATTTGTAGTGGTATTCATTCATCATTTTAAGGCCTAGTAAATTTAATGACAAAATACCCAAAGGCCTACCAGAAGAAAGGTACCGCACTAAATGTAGAATTGAGAATATGGAAACATGAAAAACAGACATGGTTCTTCACCTCACAAAGCTCACATTCTAGTAACAAGTACAACTAGAGAAATTTTAAATTTTTCAAATAATGCTATATGCCAAGAAGGAAAATCAAAACAATGCAGTGCTCGCTTTGGCAGCACATATACTAAAATAGGAATGATACAAAACAACAATGCAATACAGTTGTAATTGTAGGAAAGGAGTAACTGCAAAGGAAGAAGATTCTCTTGAGGAGGTGACATAGGAACATGAATCTAAATGAAGAAGGAACCAAGAATAATTCTGAACCAGCAAAGCAGTCACACTTAGAATCAGTAAAGCCAAGGATGTGAAGACATCTTTTGCCTGCTGGAAGAATACAATGAAAGCCAGGGAGCCGACACAAGGTTAAACAGAGACTCATCACTGTGGTCTTAAGACACGTATGAGTAAAATAAGATCCAGAAGTGAAATGAGAAGCCCTGCAGAGTTTTGAACAAGGGTGTGATGGGACCTATACTTAAAAGATTCATCGGGCTATAGTTATGTGGGGAGTATTAGAGGGATCAGGATGATAAGTCACAAATGCAGGCACCATGTACATGACAAACACTTAGAAGAATGGCTGGCAACACTTATGACACATATTTCAGCTCTGTTTAGTAAAATATAAAAAATGGTCCATTATATGAGAGATGGAATATTTTATCTGCTCCCTGACAAAAAGCCACTACAATTTACAAAGACAGAAACCTAGCTGGGCATAGTGGCACATACCTGTAACCCCAGCACTCAGAAGATAGGCAGGAGCATCTCTAGGCAGGACTGGGCTACGAAGTGAATTCAAGGCCAGCCTGAAATGCACAGTGAAACCCTATCTCAAAAAGAGCAAACAAACAAACAAACAAAAAAAAACCCAGAAGATAATGATGAAAAGTAATGCATGAGGCAGGCGAATCTCTGCAAGTTTAAGATAGCCTGGGGTACAAAGTAAGCTCAAGGCCTGCCTGTACTGCATAGAGAACCTGTCTCAATGAGATGGGGTGTGGGGGGGGAGCCGACCCCAAAACAAAAAATGATACAAAAGTAATGCATCCAAAGAACTCTGATTAGGCCCAGGACTTTTGAGGTGTCAGGCTCCTTAAAACACAATAGTGACTCAGGTAGACAGTAAGATCAGAGAAAATCTACATGAATCTGTTAAAACTTTATCCTTGCCAAGTATGGCAGCACACATCTGTGTAATTCCAGCATCAAAGAGGAAGGAGGGCCATAAGTGATCAAGTCCAGCCTGAGCAACTTAGCATTACCCTACTTCAAAACTTTAAAAAAAAAAAAAAAAAAAAAAAGTAAAAAATAAAAAGGACTGGGGAATATAGTTCAGGGCAAAGGCCCTGGGTTGAATCTTCAATACCAAAAAAATTTAATTTTAAACAGGTATTTTTTTCTGGAGAAAATGAATTGGCCAGCAAAGAAGACCTACTGATAGCATTTGGGAATCACCAATAAACTAGTATCTTATTGACAGTCAAGATTAATAACAAATATCAAATCTTTAACAAGATTCAACAATTTCATCTTTAGAGACTAAACACCAAAAAGGGAATAGCTACACACTCACTAAAATAGTTTCTATAATATCAAAGCAGCGGTCAGAATCATAAAGAACAGCAGAAAACTATAACACAGCCATACATTAACAAGGAAAACAATGACACAGTAAGATGCACGTATCATATAAAAAAGGTAATGATGCAGTGACAGACCCACTATACAGGGCTGTCTTTTAAATTTTTTCCTGCAATAAAAACAGATTACTTGCAGTCAATAAACCTGGTTAAAAGATTACATGGTTGTTTTTAAAAAACTGAATTATATTTAGACTATTGTTAGCTCTTAAAAACTATATAAAGTATTCAGCAATCAGCCAACTATCTACCTACTTTCCTCCCAGTTGAGGAACTGAGCTACATTCCGTTTTGTTTGTCTTACTTTTTGAGATAGGGCCTAAAATGTATTTGAACTTATGATCCTCTGTCTTGGCCTCCCAGAATGCTGGGGTTAAAGGTGTACACCACCAAGCCAGTAATTTCTCTTTAAAAAGTAATTTCATCTTATGTTGAAATCTAAACCAAGTAAATATTTCAATGGAAAAATACAGTAAGTAATTTTAAAATATAACTGAAAACCAAGGACTCATCAGCTATACAGTGGTTTTTCTTTTTCTTTCTTTTTTTTTTTTTGGTCTTTTGAGACAAGGTCTCACTCTGAAGATCAGGCTGGCCCTGAGCTCACTTTGTAACCCAGACTGATCTCAAATTTGCAACAATCCTCCTGCCTGTCTTCTGAGTGCTGAGATTACAGGCATGTGCCATTATGCCCGACTACTGAATAACATTTTTGATCTGACAAACTGACAACAAAATATTGTCCTTTTTAAATGTTAAGTATGAAAGAAAAATTGAATAGCTTCAATAAATAAATATTCAAAGTAATCAAAAATCAAAATCTAGAAGACAAATGGGCCAGGAGACTAAAATAGGGAGGATGCCATCATTACTGTAGACACATGTATATATAGGAATTAAGTGTGACAAAAATGGTATTTGATGAGAATAGTACGAAAGACTGTGATTAAATTATAAAAGTGTATTAATCACCACTATGAAACAATGTTAGGACCCTGGATCAGGTCCTAAAAAAAAATTCTGATAAAATTGTTGAAAAAAGTATTTTTACAGCTATTAAAAAGGCCATCTTAAATATATATATATAAATATATAAATAAAATGCCCAGAGTATACAAAAATATAGTAAGGCATAAAACCAGAACCAAATAGAAAAGTGGTCAAAGAATACAGAGAATTGCAGGAGAAATAAAATGGTTAATAAATAGTCTTAAAATATAACCATTCTCCCTAATTGGCATGTTTTCAAATTATTTTTTCTCATTGAAATAAAATGGATTTGAAAAAATATACAGCCATTGAGCTTAAAAACTCAACCTATCAGATGTTGAAAAATTACAAAGATCACCATCATTCTTGTGTGCGAGTTTATGTAGGAAAAGATGCACTCATACTGCAAAAGGAAGAATAGTTCAGTGGCACAGTGCCTGCTTAGCATGCATGCAGTGCTGGGTTTGATCCCCAGTACCATTCACACAAAAGGTAGAAGCTTTTCAGAGCACTTAATTATACTACCAATATTTAAACCTACATCCTTCTGAATCCACTGTACTGTAGTTCATTAAGAATCTGCCACACAGTTGCAAGACTATGCAAACCTCTATTCAATCACCAGCATGTTGTTGTCTTATTTATAATGTGCAAATGTCATAATGAAGACAAACATCTTAATGGAGTCAATCTGATACCAACAGAATAGGCTTAAAATACACTATCCATATAATCCACTGGTTTTTAAAAAAGGAGGCAGATATGAATATACTGAAATAGAATGGCAAAATATAAACACTTATCTTCTCTAACATATATTCTCATTCTGATTTCCAGAACTTGGAATTCTTTCCGCCTTATCCTTCTCTGGAAGCCAACAAATTATGCCTTCCAATTTTCTATGGAAACCTATTCCCAAAATTAGAAAACAACTTTCCACAAAATCTAGTAAAAATAGATCAATATATTTTGAGATAAACAGGAACTTTATAAACGCACGTTTCCTTATAGCAACTGTATTGTGGAAAAATATGCAAAACTGAGCAACAAACACATTATATTATTGAATATGGAAGAATTTCTGATCTTTGTATTTGCCTCTTTTCAAAAATATTAAGCCAGGTATGGCAGTACATGCCGGTAATCCTAGCATTGGGGAGGACTGAGGCAGGACTGATATGAGTTCCAGGCAAAAAACAAAAACAAAAACATTAAAATTAAAATGTTACTTTAATTCCCTTATTCATGAATGACTCCTATAATAAAGCAAGGCATAGTGATATACACCTGTACGCCCAGTACTCTGGGAGGATGAGGCAGGAGAATTCCAAGTATGAGCCCAGCGTAGGCAACCTAGTGAGCTCAACACAAAATTTAAAAAGGGCTGTAAAGTATGAAGGTCTTGGGTTCAATCTCCGATATCAAAAAGAAAAGAAGTTAAATCAGTAATAGTTCCTACAATACTTTCAACTTCCTAAATAGTGAAATATAATTCCTCTAGCAATCCATGAAACAGATTTTACAAATGTAAAATAAATTAAGTGAATTTTAAATTATTTGCTAACCTATCGCTTCAAAAATAACAACTATTGATTTCCAAAATGATTTTTGAGGCTTTGTATTTTAATTATTATGAATGCTTTAACAGTGGCTTCCTCAAGAATTAGTCAATTCCTAAATTGATATTTTAAATATATGTTCCATTTTCAAGAAAGAAAACGACCGACGATCCACTGATATCCAATGATAGTTAACGTTCCAAGATGTATGAGAACAAGTGTCACGGAAAATACCAATCTTCACATCTCAGTCTCAACTTCAAAGTGATGTTTCTACTTATATCTCAAATTATCTTTGTCTTTTGACAAAAGGATACTTAGTTCCAGATAATTTAAGTTCTACTGAGTAACTTCCAAATTTATATAGTAATTCTTTAAAAAGTTGAACACAAATAAGGTGGTTTCTTTAGAATATAGAGGGAGTCAAAACATACAGTGAATACTAAAGTTTTTAATGAAGTTACTACAATAAAAGCTATTGCCATTAGTTCCCTTTTGAACACTGCCCCCTTGCTCCAAATACATTTATCGTATCATTCTTGCCACTTTCTAAAGCAGTTTTGGAAGTCTTAGCGTGTTTTTACTGCCCTAGTAAGGCTGCCTTTATGTCCTAAATTCATTCAAGACATTTATCTTTTATTGTCATTTTGACTTTGGAGAAGCACCAGATCCAGTAAGGTAGATTGGGACCCAACTTACGTTTTTATAAGCTTGCTTTTTATTGGATGGACCTTGCCAAGTGCATTTTCCTATGTTTTAATCATACCTCATAAAGACACTCATAAGAGGACTTGCAGAACTGCTTCAGAAAGTGGCAATAATGGATATGTGTGTTCAAGCAAGGGGTTGTATTTTGAAGAGGACTTAATGGCAATGTTACCTCCAACTGTAATGGTTTTCTTTTTTAAATTAAAAACATTTACCGTATTTTTCAATCACACCTTTAAAGGATAAAATTCAGTTGTACTGAACAGCAAAAGTCCCTAGAACACTATTTTAAGATAGTAATTACTTCTGAGGACCAAAAAGAATTGAAGAAACAGGGCTTCAGTTTGCACTGCAGCCTCACATTTCTTTAGGCAAAAACAGGAAATAAATGTTCTTTGTGACTAAGTGCACTGACTCTGGAGGGCAGATTCCCTGGGTTCTAAACAATTCCCTAGTTCACGGTGACCTTGGGCGACCTAGGTTATTTCCTTATGCTTAAATTCCATGCCTATAAAATGTGTGATACATCTTGTTACAAGGATTAAATGAATTGATAATATGAAGTGCCTACACTAGTACACTGATACATAGTAAATGCTATTGTTATCATAAGCCCACCATCTATGAATATTAACTATGAAATCTGGCTACGCTGCAATGAGGAAAGAGGAGGTTGCAGAAGGGTGGGTAGTATTTGATCTATTTTCTACACTTTTCAAATGTAAACTTTGTTTTTGAAACCAGTGATGATCAGAATCGCAAGTGAGAAAGCAATAAAGTAGAATAAGAAGTTTCAGTCTTTTCTTCAGTTTTCAAAAACATGAGACAATACAGGCTTTTGAGTTTGATATTTATTTTTAACAGGAAAAATATGCTAATGGTGATGACATCATTAGAAGATACGCCCATGTCCAATATCTGCAACAGAAGCTTGATAGAAGTTAAAGAAACCATACAAAAGACTAAAGACAAAAACTATATTAATTTTACTTACCCTTAGTTCTGCAGACAATGAAACAAATAATAACATACTTAAGGCTGAAGTTTCACCACAAAACCAAAGAAATGACAAGCTAATTATCAAATGTCTTTTTAGAAAAATTCACCTTTGCTTTTCCATATAGAAATGGGCAACATTTTCAAGGATAGAGCATAGTGCCATTAACTGAATATGTCTATGTGAGCAAAGGAGGAGCAAATTAAAAGGGACAGTGATAATTAAGATCTGAGAAACTGGTGTGAGAGTAATCATGTAGCTCTCTCCCAGTTAGTAGTATCAAGCCAGTCAAAGCATCATTTGGAGCATAACTAGATATTGTTGAAACAAGAACTAAGTAATAATATACAAAAGCAGCTTAACAGACACAGTACTATAACATCTACAAATTTGCAGTGAGCTAACTGCAAATGAAGGTAATCAAACATATCAGAAATTGTCTTACTACTAGAATAGGAAATCGGTACAGTAGTGAACAACTGAAACAAGAACTAGTCAACTAAAGGGTTCTTTTGAAACCAAATCTAGCTCATCCACCCAGTGATAATGGCTATGATACTGTGCCTTCTTATCTCCTGAGCTGCCAGGCTTATTAACTGTGTCAATTACTACTTTCTACCTACACATATGTATGAGCTGGGAGGTATAATGAGTGTGAATATGTTAAGTACCAGAATCAGGGTAACACAGGGGTTTTTAAAGACAAGGGCTTGATACATTTCCCAAGCTGGTCTCTTAACTCATGGACTGAAGCAGTCCTCTGCCTCAGTCTCCCAAACAGCTGAGACTATAGACACGCATCCTCAGCCCTGGTTTACAAGGAAATAATCTGAAGGGTTAAATTATATAGCTAAAAATTGCATGTATTCAGAAAATGAATAGACTAAATCTAATGGTAATTTACTACAGTTAACACCAGACTGCTATTTTCCAGTTATTTCTGTGTTAGAAAATAAAATTCAAACTGATAAATGACTGCCATTGAATGGAATTACACATGAATGTTTTTCAAACACAACTAATTCTGCTAATTCCAAATTTCAAAGTTTACTTAAGCAGATTGATTTGGTTCAACTAAAAGCAAACTCACTAATGCAAGCTTACCTGAGCTGCAGCCTAAAAAGGTCTATGATCCCCAAAAATGCATGATATGCAGTTATATTCACATATGTTAGAATTACTACCAAAAAATAAATAAGCACTAAAGAAGGAAAAGGTTACGCACTTCCAATTTATGCTCTTTCTCTGCAAGGGCTTCCTTTTGACAACGAAGAAAATCTGCTAACATTCGAGTGAGTTGCTTCCTATCATCTATTTCTGCCGCCAATCTGCCATTATAATCTGCCAGCAACATGCAAGCATCCTCTACCATTTTAGAAAGCCTTTCACCAGACTCTTTATCTAAGAAAAAAACAAAATAATGAAATTAATACACAATATAAACAGCGATATCCTCTTTCCACATCTCAGGATCCAAGAGTTATGGAGCTCATTTTTTTGACTCACCGGTTATTTTATCTAGTAGGGATACTTCTTGGACTTCAACAGGCAAAGAAGCTATCCTCTGATGAACTGCTGCATCACCTGAAGCTGCATTTTCTAGGTCTTGTAATGCTCTAACGAGATCTAGAGTCTAAAAAGTTATACAACTTTAGCACCAAAATAAAGTTTAAATAAATATAAGACTTGAATTTTTTCATATTTATAATCCTTGATTTACTTATCTCACAGTTTCCAATATAAACTGCTTAAGATAATTCATCTTTTACACATTAAAAAGCTATACTATGTTAGTTATTGAAAATGTAAATGAGATAAGGCCCCGTTGACCTTGAGAAGGTCACACTTGAGTGATATAAACAGTATAAAAATACTTACCTAGTTATTAAAGTGAGATAAGTGACTGATTTATATGGCAGATATATCAATGGTAAAAGAGAAGGTAGGCTACAACTTCAACCTAGAGAATACAAGTTTTATGTATGATATATCGTTATATTACCATTGCAAATCACATTATCATTGAAAGCATTTTCTAAATTTTATTCAATTGAATTTTGGGAAAGGGAGACACAAATTATCTGCTAAAATAGAGAAGAGACTCTGATTTTATTCCTAAATATTATAATGCGTTTAAAAATGTACTTTTGAAATATGTTTAAATAGAATATATCTTCAACTCTCTTATGGTTTGTTAATAAGAACATTAAATTTTATGTATCTAATGACTATTTATATACTGCTTAGCCAGTGTACTAAGTAATATTAGAGTATTTTAGTTGCACTATTCATAAACTATAACTGGGAGAAAAAAGTAACACTTTTCATCTCACTATTTTCATACTAGCTGTAATTAGGAGAAAGTGGGGAATTCTTTGCTGTCAATTTCACAAATCATAATACAAGTTATTTATTTATTTTCTTTTAAAAAAAGATTTTCTTTTCTAGCCTCTAGATCTTTACCCTATTTTTGTGCTTTTTTAAATGTGTGTTTCTTTTCTAAAACTACATTCAGGAACACTAGGAAATTATATATATATATATATATATATATATATATACTTTAAAAACATAAAATACTACTAATTTTGAGTATATATTAAGATGACATCTAGGCAGGGATAGTGATATGTGCTTATAGTCCCAGCTACTTAGGAAGCTAAGGCAGGAAAATCACTTGAACTGAATTGATTAAAAGCCAGCCTGAGTAATTGAGACTCTAATCTCTTTGAAAAATATATGTATGTTGTTTCAGGATATAGTCCCTCTACAATGAAAGGATACTTTGCAGCAATGACACTTACCAAGAAGCTTTTTTTCTCATGGTTCCTCAACTAATCATAAAAGTTCAAAAGTTTCCAGATTCCTAAGAAAGTCTTGCTTTATGATTTTTTTTCCCCAGACAGGATCTCATTGTGTAGTTCCAGGTCACCTTGAACTCACTATGTAGCCCAGGTTGGCCTCAAAATAAAAATGATCCACCTGCCTCAGCTTCCCAAGTGCTCAGATTACAGGCCTGCACTACCATACCCAGTCTGGCTTTATGGTCTGGACAGGGCCTTTATGCTGAAACTACAAGATATGGTAAAAAAACATAGTGAATTTTTCTTTTGAGGGAAGGAGACAGGGTGTTGCAATGTAGACCAGGCTAGCCTCAAACTTGTGGTAATCCTTCTGTCTCAGCCTTCCATGTGTTGGGATTTTAAGTGTGTGCCACCACATCACACCTAAAATTTTTTTGAAAACACAGTAAAAGACACATTGTCAAGAAGAATGGGATATGTATGTACAAAGGAAGAGTGAGTGTCCTGAATATTTTGAAAATTATGATAATGTTTTTCACTAATAAAGTTAAAACATTTTTCCATATTCATCGTATTTTTTGATCACTCAACACCATTTACAGCAATTTCTGTCAAAAACATAACGGTGTGTGTGTGTCTTCATCCACCTTATTCACCAAGTCTAGAGCTATATGACTTTGGGCTCTTCCGCAAAGTCAAAATGACCACCAAAGATAAATGCTGTATTCATGACACTGAGGCAGCCACAACTGCACTGCTAAAGACAAAAGAGGACTTTGAGAACTGCTTCAGAAACTGGTACGTTTGAAGACAGGAGTGTTTTGAGGGAGATTAATGGCAATATGACTTTTAATGTAACTTTTTTTATTTTAAGCAATCACCGTATGTTGACCACCTCATACAAATTGAATTTCGTCATACATTCACATCCCTTCCTACATGAGTTAATTCTGAATTCTCATTGCCAAATCAAGGATTAGATAAGAAAACAAAGATATCTGAAACACTAGTCTAGGACTTCCTACTATAGGAAAGTTCAACTGTATTTTGCAAAGATACATTTTTTGCTATTTTAAGATGTTATAATGACCACAAAACTGAACTACTGAGAATTAAGCAGCACGACTGATCTGAAATGATCATTATAGAAACAAAGAACAGCCAGGGATTTAGCTCAGTGGCATAAGTGCCTGCCTGGTAAGCGTGAGGTCTTGAGTTTGATCACCGGTACAAAAAAAGTTTTAAAAAATTAAAAAGAAAAATTGAAAGAACAGTTCCAGACATGGTAGCACATGCCTGTAATCCCAGCACTTAGGAGGATGAGTCAGGGGGACTGCCCAAAGACTAAGGCCAGTCTAAGGCTACATAAGTGAATTCAAGGCCACCCTATACCACAAAGGGAGACCCTCTCTCAAAACAAACAAAAAAACATTTTATACAAGTACTAAAACAGTCCAGATGGTTACTAAAAAATACGAAGTCCAACTTGTAGCTACTCTTTTACCAGTGCAAATGATAGACACCACATCTAGATCTCAGGTAAAACACTGTTCACAACATGATTTTCTGTCATGAGTTATGAGCAAATAGGGAGAGACATAGATGTTAATGTTTGGTTATTCCAAAAGTCATGTTCTTACTAGCTTTCTACTTAAGCTCTAGTCCAAGGCGACCAGCTGCTTCAGCATTCCTCATCTCTGTCACTGGGTTAACTAGGTTGGCTCAAGTCCTGGCTGACAGCCTTGGTCTACTTCTTCTGCCTTCCTAGCTCTAAGAATAATAAAAACCTACAATTTTAGGCAATGAATGATTACCTTTCAAGATCCTTTCACCAGGAAAAACACCCCTTTCAGCTTCCTACTACATGCAACTTTGAGTCCAGTCCCCTAACTTTCACGAAGCACTGCGATATATTTTTACATATAGGATATAATTTTTTTTCTTTTTCTGAGTGGGGGGTCCTCACTACCTAGTTCATCAGGCCTTGAACTCACTATGTAGCCCAGACTGGCCTTGAACTCAGGGTGATCCTCATGCCTCAGCCTCCCACGTGTGGGATTACAGGCATGTACCACCACACCTGGCACAGGACATGTCTGCTTCTAGACCAGAACTCAACAGAAAAAAGGCTCTGGCCAACATAATGTGTTATGTTTCTGTACTGTTCTGGCCCTTGAACATATTTACCTTGTTAAAAGAGAATGGCTATGTCTTCATTTTCTCCTTTGAAATTTTATCTGTCCCTCCTATATGTTTCAAACATAAAAGAAGGGAACTTAAAGACTCAATACCTACTTAATTAAAAGATGAAAATGTCTTTCATCTAATGATTAAGAACAATGTACTATACCAACCTGGAAGATTTACAGTATTAAATTAATGATTCTAATTCATCTCATTTTTGCATAGAACTACATAGTATTATAGAGAACTGTGTGAATATATGCTTGTCACTCTAATGTGCATTTTTGCCTCCAAAGCTGACCTGTCCTGGGCAGCGTCCCGTGCCTGCTCATCATGCGTGCGAGCTGTGGATGGGAAGGTGGTCTGCAGCCAGTGCGAGCGGGCCCTGTGTGGGCAGTGCATGCGCACCTGCTGGGGCTGTGGCACTGTGGCCTGTTCCCTGTGTGGCCTTGTAGACTGCAGCGATGTGTGTGAGAAGACACTTTGCGGCAGCTGCGCCATGTCCGATGCCTGAGGCCGTGTGTCAGCGAGGAAGAGGAGCAGCAGCAGCAGCAAGCACGTGCATTCGTGTGTGTGTGTATGTGTATGTGTGTGTGTGTGTGTGTGTGTGTGTGTGTTTTGTACTTTGATGACAAGTGAATAAAGCCCTTTATATTTGCAAAAAAAAAAAAAAAAAAAAAGCAAGAATACTGTTTATAGGGGCTGGGGATTTAGCTCAGCGGCATAAGCGCCTGCCTTGCAAACAGGCAGCCCTGAGTTCGATCCCGGTACCGATAAAAAGGAAAAAGACCAAAAAAAAGAGTACTGTTTATAACTAAGGTTATTTTAGTGTACTTACTTGATAAAACAGTATATACCTAAGATACCATATATAATACTTAGCAATCAGAAATTCTATGCAAAATTATTTCTATGCAAAACATGCAATATTAGAACATAGTATATTAATATGAGCAATTTGTTAACCAGAAAATAAGACAGACTCGTGCAACTTCTTTCTTGTAACCAGAAAGAGTAAAATTAATAAAGCTTGGTGGACACAAGAAAGTAAAACAACTTACTTATTAGAGAAAATCTTTTACCTGTGGTGGTTCACTTGGAGAGCCCAAAGAGGAACAATTTTCATTTTCATCTGCCTTTATTTGTTCGTAAGCTCGCTTCCTAGCCTTTTTATCACCATCTGAATTGAAAGAACATTGAAGTCTTACAGAAAACATTTTAAGTAAGAGATCACAGTAAGAGACCAAGGCTATATACTTACACAGAGCTTGCTTAAGTTGGTCTAATACATCATTTTCATAAACAGATCTCTCTTCCCAAATAGACAACACTCTTCCAAGGTGCTTTTTACAACTTTCATCAGTTTCACTAAAGCAAAAAAGAAAACTATTAGCAATAAAAATGTTCTGGTTTTTTTTTTTTTTTTTTTTTTTTTTTCTTTTTGCTAACGGGGATTAAACTCAACCTTAAGCACGTGCTTGCCAGGCAGGTGCTTACACCGCTGAGCTAAATCCCCAGCCCCAGTAAAAATGTTATTACATTCCCTAGAAAAATCAATCCAGGGGCTGGGGATTTAGCTCAGCGGCATAAGCGCCTGTCTTGCAAGCAGGCAGTCGTGAGTTCGATCCCTGGTACCGATAAAAAGGAAAAAGACAAACAAAAAACAAAACAAAAAATCAATCCAGATGTTTTCTGAGTATTACTATGTGGTCAGCAGTTCAGGGATAATGTGAACAAGTTATATTACCTGTTTTTCTTAAAAATCTTATAAACAATAAAATTACAAAACAAAATGTAAATTTTAGGATTTAGGAGTTTTAAAAAATGTTCCTAACCTAATAAAGGCTAAATATGTGGCTAAGATTTCTAACAAATGACTTTACTCAACAAATATTTATTGAACAAGCTGCTGCTTCTAATACGGTAATCAAACAGAGTTTTATAGCTATTATTTATAAAAGCCTCAAAAGAGAACAAAGTGCTAAAGACAGAAAACAGAGACAAATCCTAGTTTAAGAAGGATCAGGAAAAGTACTTAAGAAAGTCATATGAAAGTGATATTCAATTATGTTTCAACAATCAGATATACAAGAAAATGGGAAACAGATTATTTTGAAAATGGGAAACAGATTATTTCTAACCATTTCTGAACTTCCCAAAAAGATTAAACAATAGAAACCATGGCAATTATACAGAAGGACGCTTCAGTAACTAAAAGGAGAAAAAAGCAACTAAGCGAAAGTACATTATGTGAATACAGAAAATGAACGATTCAAGAGTTCTAGAGGACGACTGATTTTTCTTTTTCTTTTTTTTACAACTAATTTCTTGCATAGGAATGTGGATGGAGCTGCCATTCACTGACACAGAAGCAGTATGTTTGACCAAAAGCATAGAAGTGATAAATTCAAGCGGGCTGTGGTGGCGTACACCTGTAATCCAGCACTTGGGAAGCTAAAGCAGGAGGATCGTTGCAAGCTTTAGACTGGTCTAGGCTACAAATTGAGCTCAAGGCCAGCCTGAACTGCATAGTGAGACCCTGTTTCAAAAAGACAGACAGACAGATGAATGAATGAATGAATAATGAGTTTATTATCAGACAGAGTGAGATTTTTAAGATGCATACAAGTAGAGGTCAGGTCACTGTACTATATATATAGGTCTATGATTAAGGAAGAAATCTGCCTAGAGAATAAAATTTTAAGTCATTATTAGAGTATGCACAATAACTAAAAATATACAATATATAAAATCACCAAGTTGGCAAGTAAAGAATATGGTCCCAAAGAATGCATAGGACTTAACTCTAAGACTTAGATATTTAAAGAGATGGAAGAAGATAATATCTAAATTGAAGGGTAAATAATAGCAAAATGCAACAGTATTTGACATTACTTTTTTTCCTCAAATGTGATTAAAATTTTAAGGTATGTGGTGAGTAAATTTTCACCCTTCTGTGAATCATTATAGGCCACCATTTACTACTGTATTCTATAATTTAGACTGATTTAATAGTTCATTCCAATGCTTGCCTAGTAATCTATCATATACTTGTAGACAATGTTCAGAAATAAGTATTTAAATGGGAACAAATTAAAGTATAGACTATCACCCTCTGAATTATCTGTAGCAAAATTTTTCAGCAAGTTTATAATTATCTTTATTTCCAGAGCATTTAAAAATGTTAAGACATACAACCTAACACCAAAAAAAATAAGGTTTGCCCATACAAAGATGCGAGGAAAAGAATACAGTAGTTGCTACATCCAGAAATACTAGTGACAAAATTCACGTTTTTATATGTACACAAATTTTCAATGCAATACCTTTAATCATTCTCAATGAAGTTCATTCCAGTTTGGCAGTTACTAGTCTTTTTTTTTTTAAGTGGTTCCAGGGACTGAACTCACAACTCCACGCTTGCAAGGCAGGTGCTTATGCCATTGAGCTAAATCCCCAGTGCATCAGTTACTAGTCTTTTAAGGACAGCTGTAATTCAAGTACTCCAAATGATAATCTTAGCAAATCTCCTTCTCAGAAAGCACTTAGCATGTTCATTTACAAAAGCCAGTTAGAGATAAGTCTTTTCAAATGTAAGTTTCAAAAAACACATTTTGTTTTTACTGTAATGCTTTAAAGTAAATTTTAGCAAAAGGAAACACAGCACATTTGAAAACAGCTTACCTAGAACACCAAATAATTATCATACCTTGAAACATGCTTAAAAGCCTCCACTATAACTGGTGCAAAATCTTTTGTAAACTCCGGCCCCTTCCTTTTGCTGTTTTGAATGACATCATTGGCTAGGTACAGAAAAGTGAGCTTTCTGTTGGGTTTGGCTGAAAAGTAAAGAATAAATTGTTAAAAATCTACTAAAAAGGCAGTCATGAGTTCGATCTCTGGTACCGATTTAAAAAAAAAATCTACTAAAAATATCCTTCTTTGACTTAGACAAACTTTGTCAATACCTGAATTAAATACTTTTGAGGACTATAAGAACCCACTAGGCTTTTATGTGTCTTGTTCAAACCCAGCTTCTCAATCTACTACCAAATTTACCAAATCTCTGCTGCTAACCTCACCAAGATGATTCTGTAACTTCTAGAAATGAAGCATGTGAACAGGGAAAGAGGAGGGGAGGGGGCAACCCAGCAGGCAGAGGTAGATAAATTACAGCTCATTGCATCTCCTTGGAGTACTGCTGCCCCAGCTAATGTTTCATTCCTTGCCTTATCAGCACTCCCAAACTAAATGGTTTTTACACACTGAAATCCTCATGTATGTATAAAAATGCTTCTCTGTGAATTTATTCTATATTAAATTTTATTAAAGCCATTATAAACAATATGAAGCACAGTCATTTGAAATAAGACAGCAATTGGTCATATTAAAATGGCACCTAGGCCGGGCATGGTGGCACACACCTGTAATCCCAGCACTTGAGAGGCTGAGGCAGAAAGATCACAAGGCCAGCCTAGGCTACCTAGTATGTTCAAGTCCAGCTTGCACTACAAAGCAAAATTCTATCTCAAAATAAATAAATAAAACTTAATACTTAAAAAAAATTAATATTCATACTGACTCAAAATCTGTATTCAGTTACAGTGAAACAACAGAGTATGGATTAGGTATAGGGCTCAAACACCAACACATTATTTTCAATTTTTCCTTGTAGTATCCAGGCTACAATTTGAGAAATTCCTATCATTTATGTATGCCCTTAGTCAAATTTTCAAGGAAAAAAATTGGAATACTTCTATTTTACGATTATGTGAATTTCTACATAAAGCAATTAATGAAAATAACACATAAAATGCCAGGGGAGGGAAAAAAAATCACAAAAATGATTTTTCACATGAATTCTGATGAATTTTTAAAATAAAAGCCGCGAACTATTGTTAAAGATAAGGTACAAAGTTAACAAAAGGGCAGTCAAACCATTTTATAATTCCTTAAAGAAACACAGTCAGTAAAAGAAAATGATTCTCAGGTGGTGTGTTGCTGACCTTTATCCCTGCCCCCTTCAATGTCAGTCACATTTAATGTTTTCTATGTGCCAAGGACAAAAAAATAACCATTTCTAAGTTTGCAAACACCATATAAATTGACAGGTCCCATCACTAAAATTCCATTTCTCGTTTTTCCTTTATTTCTTCTGGCCACAAACACATCACACCAACATGAAGGCATTATATTATATCCCACTGTACATTTGAGGATGCTTCTTTATCTGTATCAGTAAAGTATAAGCCAAATAAGTACACCAAATATGTGTACCACCATTTTCTTACCCATCTCCATAAGCAAACTCTTACACTCCTCTAGGCAATAACTAAGTACCTTGTATAAGAACATAGTACAAGTAAACTGAGTATATCACTCCCACTCTGTAAGGCATGGTAATAAAAGTTCAGCTCATCATACAAGTAGTTGTTATGTAACACTGCACAAACACAGCCAGGTGCAGTGGCTCATAGCTGTGATCCCAGTGCTCAGGACGCTGATGCAAGAGGATTGCATTGAGTTTGAGGCCAGCCTGGACTACATAGAAGACTTTGTCTCAAAAAAAAAAAAAATTTATTTTTCTTTTTGCAAATGTTAAAATAAAGATCAATTACCAGGTTTCAAAAAATGAAATCAGTCTGTGCTATCTGATAAATAATATAAAACAAACTTGGTCAGTGAAAGAATTAAAGAAATGTCACCTAACTTCACTAACTCATAATTGATGTATAATCTGTTTATTTTCAGAAAGTGACAGAAGCATTACTAATTTTCTTATATTGTACAGACCATTTGCCTACTCATTTTGATATGATGCAGAATATCATAATATTAAGTCAATCACCCATGCCTTTATGAAGATGATGATGATAAATGCAGCAAACAACTAAAACCATAAAAACCATGTTTCGAAGGCAAACCTCTTCATAAAAAGAAGTAGGAAAAAACTGAATAAACATCAGGTGTGGTGGCACATATGCCTGTAATCCCAGTATGCGGATCACTGCGAGTTTGGGGCCAGTCTGGGCTACATAGTGAACTCAAGGTCTTTGAGTGAGACCTTGAACTACAGAGGGAAATTCCAGAAGAAAGGAAGGAAGGAAAAGGAAGGGAAGGGGGGCTGGGGATTTAGCTCAGCGGCATAAAGCGCCTGCCTTGCAAGCAGGCAGTCGTGAGTTCGATCCCTAGTATCGATAAAAAGGATAAAAGACCAAAAAAAAAAGAAAGAAAAGGAAAGAAAGGAATGTGAAAGGAAAGGAGGGGAGAGACACAAAGAGGAAGAGGGAGGAAGGGATAGAGAAAAGAAATTGAATTGGATGAGCAAATATTTACACATATAAACACATCCATGGAAGAAATGAGCATTACTGTAGTTTGTTGTTGTTTTGAGGTTTTGTTTTGTTAACAGGGTGTTTCACAGAAGGGATCATGGAAAAAGCAAGTGCTGGGTCAGAGGGAGAAAGTATCTCAGATTCATTGTATTTGCTTTTCCTTGAGAAGAGTTACTCATCCACCACACCCTATTCTAGGTTTTATAGTAGTCTACATTAAAATTATTCCATTTTAATGTATGCAAAGATCACAGGTGATGTTACTGTCATTGTTGCTGTTAAATCAAGGAAGGAGAGCTACATAGACTCATCTACTGCAAGACTCTGGAATGACGGCTAGGAAATGACTATGCCATATGCCACACAGTGCTCAGCCAAAAGACCCCTTGCATCTCCGTGCCCAAGGTCAAAGGATCTGCAGATAGGCACTACTGTGTTGGCCTGATGGGCAGCCCCATAATGCACCCAGGTGTGGAAGTGTGCCAGCAAGCAACCCAGTTGTGCACCTGTAGGCCTGATCTCCCACTCTATTTCACCTCCTAGAGACAGAAATAGGGAAAAGGCCATTATATCTTGAAACAATTATGTATCATAAAGATTTATTAACAATTGTTATGGCTAGAGGTATAGCCCAGTAATAGAGCACTTTTCTATCATTCATGGAAATCAGCAGTACCAAAAAGAAAAAGAAAAAAACAGACAAAGAATCTCAATTATTTTTGTGATAAACTAAATTATAAACAAGTACCTAGCTATTCACAGATACAACAGGTTACAAAGAACAGAAAAACACAGTCAAGTTCATACATGCCTATTTATACCTTAAATATAAAAATGCTATGAAACATCAATGGAAAGAATTATTCCAGGCAGAAGCTCCTACGTGTGACCTAATCAGTGTTATCATTTGTTATGTACAGAAGGTAATGGAGTAAGTGAGAAGCTGGAGCAAAAGGGAGGACCCTAAATACCAAAATAACAAGTTTAAGCTTCATTTTGTAAACAAACAGAAATTCTGAAGTTTTAGAGGTGGGGGCTGCACACAAAACACTTTCAGGTGTATTAGGAAAGCTAAAGTAAGTAAGACTGAACACTTGAGAAAACTACAAGGGACAAGAAAGACAGAATCCAAAATTAGAGTCAACATCACGGGAATTCCTTTGTTCTAGTTCAGTGATGGCAAAACTCTTAAGGCTTTCAATGATACAAACTGCCCACTGCAGCACATGTGCCATAGGCTCACCACCACAGTCCTAGTTTCCCCAAATCTAATCACCTCTTAACAATTCGTTTGCAAAGGGAGATACTTACACAGAAGAAAAACTCATATTATTTTATAGAAATTTCCACTTTATAATAATTTACTACATCTTCTTGAGTTACATAACTCTTTTGAGAAGTTGTTATTCAGAATGAGCCAGAGATATTGCTCAATGTCAGGCAGAAAACAGAATTTCACATTAGAAGCTGGGCATATGGCACACACCTGTATTTCCAGCTATTTGGGAGACTAAAGGAGAAGGATCTCAATTTCAAGGCAGCATTCAAGGACAACACAGCAAAATGCTGTCTCAAAATAAGTTTTAGGGCTGGGTAGCTCAATGGCCTAAGCGCCTGCTTAGCAAGTGCACAGTTGTGAGTTCAATCCCCAGTACCAAAAAAATAAATAAAAATAAAACAATTAGGGGTCTGGGATGTAGCCCAACTATATTAGTATCCATGAGTTCAATCACCAGTACTGGAAGAAAAATATTCTACATCAGAGCCTAAAGTAGAATGCTATCACAGAAGCTGAGTGAAACTCAAAGGAGAAATGAATAAAGGTTTTCTGCATAATCTGAAATACACAACTCAATCAAAAACAATCTATTCCAAACTCTAGGGCTGTGATGGTGAACCTTTAGAGCTTCTGATGATACAAACAGCCCAATACAACATACATGCCGCAGGATCATTACCAACACTCTAGACCAACACCCAGATACCATCTTTACTTCTAATCTCCATGTTAAGAATTTTAAAAAGTGTTTTTCATATTAACCACTGGTTAAAAGTTAAGATTTCCTTTCGTGTATATAGTTAGGATTTCCTTTTATGTGTGTATGAGTTCAACTATGGCTTACAAAAGCCTCTTGCTGGGGATGTAGCATAGTGGCACAGTGCCTGCCTAGCAAGCACAAGGTTGTGAGTTGAACTCCTGGTACCAAAAAAAAAAGGCTCCAGTTATGGATTGAGAACTGGTGGTCAACTTAACACCAGCTGAACTACATCAGCATGCATTGAACGAAGATGCTCCACCTGAGGAGGGTTGCCAGGATAAATAGGTGGAGAGGAAGGGAAGTGTAGAGGGTTGAGGCGTTAAGGAGGTATTGTGGGTTCTCCTGAAGAGGCTTTGGTCCTCACATCAAGTACTGCTTCCTGGCTCTAGAGGGGAAGACATGTGCTGCTTGGTCTCCAGGATAAACTCGTCACGCTGCTTCCTGGCACATACCCAACTGTGCTTG